TTTAATTTGGATGAAGTTTAAATTTATTGATTTTTTTTTTTTTTTTTCTTTTATGGATCATGAGTTTGGTGTTATGTATAAGAACTCTTTGTTTAACTCTGGGTCATGAAGATTTTCTTCTGTGATTTCTTATTCAAGTTTTTCTCTTTGACCTTTTTATTTTGAAATAATTTAGAGACTCATAGGAAGTTGTGAAAAATATTGTATAGAGTCCTACATGCCCTTTGTGCTGCTTTCCCTCAGTGGTGGCCTCTTGTATAACTGTAGCATAATACCAAAAGCAGGAAACTGAAGTTGGTATAATACTATTGCCTAGACTATAGGCCTCTTCAGTTTTCACCAGTTTTTATATACATGCATATGTATTTGTATAGTCCTATAGAATTTTACTCCATGTTCCAGTTCTTAAAAGGAAAACATTTAGTGTTTTACCATTAAGTGTGGTATAGGATTTTTTAGCTATAGGATTTTTGCAAACAGTTTCTGTAGGTTGAAGAAGTTCCTTTCTGTTCCTAGTTTATTGAAAGTTTTGTTTGTTTTTAATGAATGGTAGTATCAAATGTTTTTTCTGCTTTAATTGATGTGATCATGTGGTTTTCTTTTTTTAGACTGTTAATATGATAGATCACCTTGATTAATTTTCAAATAATGAGCCAACCTTGTATCTTGGAATAAACCCAACTCGATGTGGTGTATTTTTCTTTTTCTATATTGCTGGATTCGATTTGCTAATATTTTATTGAGAATTTTTGAATCTATAATCATGGGGAATATTGCTTTTGTTTGTTTTTTAATATTGTCTTTGCTTTTGGTATCAGAGTAAGGCTGGTCTCATAAAATAGTGCTAGGAAGAGACTATAGAATTGGTGCTATTTGTTCAGTAAGTATTTCATAGACTTTGTCAATGAAACCATCTGGGCCGGTTTTATTGATTTTTCTAAAACAGCAACAACAAAAACAGTATGATTATCTCATGTTTCCCTGTTAATTTTTCTGATTTCTGCTCTTGTTTTTATTTTATTTGCTTGTTTTAGGTTCTTTTTGTCCTTTTTCTGATTTTGTCAGATGGAAGCATAGATTAGTAGTTTGAAACTTTCTTCTTAAATGTATACATTTATTGCAACAAATTGCCCTACAAGCACTGCTCCAGCTTTGTCTTAGAGATTTTAGTAAATTTTGTTTTTATTTTCATTCAGGTCATTGTGTTCTTCTCTCCTCATACTTCTTTGATCTATGAATTATTTAGAAGAATGCTGTTTAGTTTCCAAGTTTTAGGAGACTTTCCTGTGACACTTTTTTTTTTTTTTTTTGTATCTAGTTGATTTCATTATGGTCAGAGAAAATACACTTTCAATTTGTTGATACTCCATTTGATTTATCTAGTGTTCTAAATTTTTCTAATGGTTCTTATAAAGATTACACTGTATGTACATAGTTATTACAGTCTTCCAGGGTGAACATTTTATCATTTAAGTGAAATATAATCTTGCTATCACCAAAGCTGCTTTATCATCTCCCCATTATGGTATAGTCATCCTTACTATTACCTCTATATACATTGTTAATGCTAGGATTTTTTTACTTCTGTCAAAAATAACATTTAAAACTCAAGAATAGTTTATTTACCTTTCTGTTGCCTTTTCTTCATTTCTGTTGTTCTGAGTTTCCTCTTGTTATCCTCTCCTTCCTGTTTGAGTAACTTCCTTTAGCCATTCCTTGAAAATAGGTCTGCTGGCTAGAAATTACCTTAGCTTCCCTTCATCTGAGTAGTCTTTATTTCATCCTCAATCCTAAAGACTGTTTAATGGATATAGAATTATTGACAGTTCTTTTCTGTAATACTTGAAAATACCATGCAGTTCCTTCTGGTGTCTGTGGTTTTGATGAGAAATCCTTTGTCTTTTGTTCTCCTGTATTTCTCTCTGATGCTGTGAAGATTTCTTGTTGCCTTTCATTTTCAGAAGTTTGATTATGATGTGTCTAGGTGTGTGTTTCTTTGGGTTTTTAACTGTTTTCCTTAAATTAATAGGTTTATGTCTTTTGCCTCATCTGGGAAGCTTTTAGCCATTATGTCTTCATATATATTTTTGTTTCTGCATTTTTCCTTTTTTTCTGAGCCTCTGGTAGAATAAGTGATGGATTTCTTTTTTTCTTTTTTTGGCCCTGCAGGTCCCTGAGCCCTTTGTTCACTTTTTAAAAAGCTTTTTTTTTTTTTTAAATGATGTCATCTCCATTTGATTTTTGTATATTAATCTTACATCTGGAAATCTTGCTGAACTCACTGATTAGTTCTAATAGCTTTTTTATAGTTTCTGTTGGATTTTCTAGATCGATGACCATATTACCTTTGAATAACTACAGTTTTATTTCTTCCTTTTCAATCCAGAAGCCTTTTATTTTTCTTACTGTATTACACTGTCTAGAACATCAAGGAAAATGTTAAATAGAAGTGGCAAAAGCAGACTGTTTACCTTGTTCCCTATCGGGGAAAACATTTGGTGTTTCACTGATAAATAATAGTGGGTTTTTTTCTATAGCTGTTAGTTATCGTGTTGAGGAAGTTTCCTTCTGTTTCTACTTTACTGGAAGATTTTATTAGGAATAGATTTTGGATTTTTATCAGGTGTATTTTCTGTGTCTATTGTGATAACCATGTGTTTTTCCTTTTTTTAGCTTTTTAATCTGATGAATTACATTTATCAGTTTTTGAATGTTAAGTAAATCTTGCAGTCCTGGGATAGATCTCATGTAGTCATGAAGTATTATCCTTTTTTATATTATTAGATTTAATTTGCTGATCTTTCATTAAGATTTTTGCATCTCTGTTGATGATGAGATATTGGATTGTGGTTTTCTTGTAATGTCTTTGCCTGGTTTTGGTATCAGGGTAATGCTGGCTGTCTTTAATTTTCTATAAGCATTTGTATGGAATTGGTATTTCTTTTTTAAATGTTTGGTCAAATTCATGTGAGGCTCCCTATGTCTGGAATTTTTTTATGGGAGAAAGCTTTTAACTACAGATCCAATTTCTTTAATAGATAGAGGGCTATAGCGGACATTCCTTCTTAGATTGCTCCCTCTCAAGACCTACCTGCTACACTGAAAAATCAGCCCACATGGAGAAGTCATGTATGGGTGCTCTAGTTTACAGTTCTCATTGAGCCCATTCATCAGCCATTTCAGCCCAGAGGTTAAATGGTAAGTGAAGAAAGAAGTCATCTTGGAAGTAGATCCTCCAGCCTCAGCTTTTGTAGCTGTTGAAGTCAATGCCAGTCATTTGACTCTTCTAGAAGAGGCCTCAGATAACTATGAGGCTGAGAAGGGTCAATTCTGCTTACCTTTCTGAAGTACTGGCCTGTTGGATCTCTATGCATAACAGTATGTTTGTTTTATGCCACTAAGTGTGTTGATGGCTTGTTGTACAACAGAAGGGGGTGGCTTCATTTCAGTAGGACTGGGATAGAGGTTTCAGTCCCTACATATCTGAAAATATCTCTACACTCTTAATTGGCTTTGGAATCCTTAGTTATAAAGAAATTCACTCTCAGAGCTTTGAAGTTATTTCTCCATTGTCTTCATGTATCAAAATCTTGCCAGTGAAACGATATAAATCTGATTCTCATTCCTCTGTGGGGGTAACGTTTTCTCCCTTTTGAAGCTTTTGGGATTTTTGACCTTCAGGTATTTCTTTGCAGTGCACGTAGGTAATTTGTAATCCATTTCTGTCTGAGGACTCATGTCTTTGTATTTACTTCAGTGTATTTCTACTACTTTAAATTTTTTTTTTTTTTTACTCCCTTTAATTTTTTTTTTTTTTTTACTCTTTTAAGTCTCCAAGATTTGAATATTTCTTGATTAATTACAGTTGGTTTCCCCCTTTCACCATGTTGTCCCACCAAATGTAGGTGATTCTTGGCTATTTTGTTGTTGTTGATTTTTGTTTGCTTTTTAAGATGCCCTTTTACGCACTCTGCAAATACTCTCCGTTCATGGCTGCCTATATCCAAAGGTTGTTGGGAATTGCATAGTACCAGGAAAAGTTTAGGGGTCCTGGTCTTCCTATGTGTCACTAGATACTGGGAAATGTCCTGATCCTTTGGGGATAAATACATGTTATTTACTTCTTTTACCCATGGTCTAAAGGCAGCAAGAAGAGGTGACCCACTTGCTCCTGCTGAGGCTTCTCAACTAACAGTGCTTTGCTTTCCTTCAGGAAGTCCCTTCCCATTTTTGTCCCTTCAGTGCATGGAGCAATACCCACTTTTGGAATCAATTTTTTTCTGGGGAAAAACTCCTGAGTATATGATTACCTCCTTTAATCTGATCTCATTTGCCTTTTGTTTTTAAAGAGATGCCTGATTATTTTGGTTTCTCTAAGGACATCTATCCCTTTGTTTTTCAGGACTCTACGAATTTAAGGAGCTGATAGAACCCTGGAGTAGGTGCTCTGTCTACTCTTTTAGTCTAATTGTGGTCATTTTGTTTAAAATGCACAGAAGTTTCATGTGCTGTTTTTACATGCACATGTAGTTCTTTTTCTTCTGCCAGTTCTTTCTTTCTTAGGCTACTCTTACTACTGGATTGAGAAACTACTTGTGTGTCTCATAATCTTGGATCTGTTCATCTATCCTTGAATCTCAGTATTGATAAAAATCCTCTTTTTTTGGGTTATGTTAAGGGAAATTATAATGCTTTAGTTTATGACCTTTTGACAAGGCTACATAGAATGTTATCAAATAAAAGTGTTGCAGTGTAGCTTGTAGAAATTTTTAGGAACCTATTGCTTGTGTCCCACATTTTTTTGTTTTATATAAAAAAATACTTAGAATGATTTTTACCTACTAAAATAATCACAATCTTATGAAGTTGTAAGAGTCAGCTTTTAGTATATTTGCATAGGCTTTCATTTTGAGTAAAGCAGAGTGCTTATTTTTTCCCTAAACTGGTGATTTACTTGAGACTTCACTATATTAAAAAATGATCTTTTTTTTTTTTTCCAGGGCAGCATCTCAGACATGTTGAAAAGGATGTTTTGATCCCTAAAATAATGAGAGAAAAAGCCCGAGAGAGATGTTCTGAACAAGTTCAAGGTAAGATTCAAATATTCATATAAAGATCAAATACATTTTTTATAATATGATCTGAATTTAATCCTTAGCCTCAGAGTCAAGTAGTCAGTGAATTAATATGTATGAATTGCTTCTCACCCTTTCACGGAGATACCAGTATTTCAGCTTTCAGAACTTCCAGACGGTGTTCAATTCATTTACAATTTAAAAATATTCTCCCAAATTACTAGTAAAAAAAAATTTTTTTCCCAGGAGTACAGTTACATATATAGAGAAACTTGGTTATTAGTATTTTAGAGAAACAAGTTATTCTGGTGATTTCGATAGGGAAAGAAGAAACCTCAAATGTAACATGTACCTGTTTTTTCTTCATCAACATATAATTATATATTCTAAGATGATTTTCTTTGGTGCCATTGTATATTACTGTATTGTTAATGGAATCTCAGTAGTACTTACATTGAGTCTTTTTATTTTTTACTTTTCTATATCTTACATTCTTAAATGGATGATATTTATGTAAATGAATGCATTAGGCACCCACATAAGTATGTTTTCTTTAGAAAATGTTTCTTAACGTAGGATACTCCTATATTCTGTACATCTAGAGACATGCTGTTGATTAATAATAAAATTTAGTGAAAACATGTAAACAAAGCAGTGGAAGGTGAAAACTGAGGCCATAGATGGGGGGTCATTAGAAAAGCAGATGACAGTATTACTGTAGAAACAAATGTCTTTTTAAACAAATCTATCTCCTGAAATGGCCATCTAAAAGAAGTAGTAGTAAAATTTTTTGCTGATGTACACCATTTTCCTGGCTCCCCTTCTTCATTTTTCCCTGTTGTCTTCTTCCTTGAGGGACTTCAGTGATTCTTTGTGAGGACGATGGCCTGTGATTCCCATCGGCAAGTTTCTCTATAGAGCCAGGCTGTGTCATCTGTAGTTTTGGGACTGTGTCAGTAATGTTTGGATGCTGGGAACATTTGTGTCCCTCTGATGCTGTTCTTTGAGAATGACCTTTGAAATCCTTGGATTGAAGCAATAAAAGAAGAGTAATTCTCACAGTGGACATTGTGTGGTGGTCATTTCTGTTTCTTAGATGACTTATTGTGACCTATTCCAGTTTCACATCCATTCATAAGATTTAAGTTAAATCCATCCATAAATAACGTTATCAGTAATTACTTAGTCTATGATACTAGTTTTGCTTTCACTGTGAATTAGTTGTTTAATCAGAGCACCTTCCTTGCACTCACACCCCCAGGTATCAGGAGTAACTAACCCATTGCCACCTGCAGGCAGGGTTCACTGCAAAGCTAGAATTGGCAGGTGTCATGCGGATAGTCTGGAGATAATTCTCCACTTGCCTCAGAACTTTAAAATAAGTAAATATATGTGTGTGTGTATATAAGTGTGTGTATATATACACACACACAAACACATAGATATACTTATATATAAAATCTCCTGACCCAGGTGAGGGAGAATAAAAATTAACAATGTGTAATGGAATTATAGGGCTAAATTTTTACTACCAGGAAGATTTACTTGCTACTGATACATTGGTTCAAAGTTATAAATATGAGTTGTATTTATTCTGTTTTTAACACATTATTCTGATATCTAGAAAGAAAAAAGCTAGCTAACTCAATTATAGATTGAGTTTTTACTCACATGATACAGATGAAAATGCAGAAGAATTGGGTTTGAGTTTCAGAACTGCCTTTGCTAACTCATAAAACGAAACTGTTTTTGGTTTTTTTAAAACAAATAAGAGTATAACAAAATATAAGTTTGTGTTGCCCAACTATCATATAACGAGTGGTATAGAAAAAATGTTTATTTTTTGCTTTATCAAAAGTTAAGTTGTTTTTAGGATGTTGACTTGGTTAAGTCTTTCTTAAAATATACTTAAAATCTTCTGAAGACTGAAAGCATCTTAAAATTTGAGATCTGCTTGGGTTTTTTCAATGCATTTGTCCGTGTTAGAACATGGTGTAACAATTGATTTTTGAATATTTGAATCTTTTATAGATAATCATCTATTGGTTTTTTTTTTTTTTTTTTTTTTTAGGCCCTATGGTCTAAAACTGTTATAGAATCCAAAATTACTTTATAAAACAATACTCTTTAGTATTCTTGCTTAACCATGTGGTTTAGTCAAGAACATGCATTGGTGTTCAGCAGCAGAAGAGCTATATTTGAACTGAACAATAAGATGTAATTTAGAATCAGGACACTCACCTTGTAGTTTATTTACTATTTATAGCCTTTGCTTTATTAAATAATTGTAGGATTTTTATATAAAAGCATTGTGTGTGCTCACTGTATAGTTTTTCGATAAAGATACAGGAATTTTAATAAGTGATCTGACTTTCTGCTAAATGCCTTAAACCTGATGATGTAGGAAAGCTTTTCTGTTTGATTTTTTTGCATGTCATTTCATCCCAGCTGATCATAAGAACTGGGTCAGACTGCCAGCAACTTAGGTTTGTGAAGGGAATGGAACAGCTTTTGCAGGGACAAAGAGAAATGAAATCACTTTCAATGAAAGAAGGATGCCTCATTATAGTCACCAACAGCAGTTATTGACAGCTACACTTCCTATTAACAAGGAGCATTTAACTAAGAGTTTGGCTGTTGGATCTTTGGACTTGATCTAATTTGCTAGCATTAATTAGTTTCTTTTGAGCACAGACACTTGGTGCTCACAGCTATAGATTTGGAGGGCTAATTAGGATAGAAAATTGAACAGAATGGGGTAAGGCATTAACCTTCAACCATTACCAGCTGGGACACTGATAAAGACCACAGAGTCCAAATGCTCCCTATTGATGTGAAGAGTACCCTAATGAATATCAATTTCAGCCAGGTTGCTATATTCTTACTAGTTCTCTCTCCATTATAATTTTTAACCAGTTTCTGCGATACCTTCATTATCTGTATATACACTATTGGTTTTTACTCTACACTGATTTAGTCCGAGTTGCACATTTCATCTTATGTTTAAACACAATTAAAATTTGTCTTAAGTAGCTGATAACATTTAGAATGTTTCATTGTTACATGCCTTAATGCTTCTAAAACTCTATTTTTATTTACAATTCATGATTCTTATTCTACAGTGAATGTTTATAAAGTCACAATAACTGTCATTTCAAGTAATGAAAACTATAACCAGAAACAAGAAAATCTCAGCTTCTGGGTAACAAGTAAGCAGTATTTGTATTAAACTGGTGTCAACTTGATAATCTTTGTCTTTATACAATATGCTTCTTTGCATTTTTTTTTATATAGAAAAATAGTACCCATTAACCTTTTCTTTTGGAATTTAACCTTGATTTGATGAGTAAAGGTGGCTTGACTTAGAGATTAGATACAGAACTGAGAATGCTGATCTTGTTATTATTTACACTCAGATAAGATTAACTGTTGGTAGAGTATACATCAACAGAAAAGCAAGTGATCAATTGGTTGAGATAGAAAACTAAACTTTACAGTATTCTTTTGCCAGTGATGCTGGCAATGAATAGAGCCACTAAAATTACCAGTGTATTTTTAGATATTAACACAATGAACACTGACAATGTTGGGAACAAAACTGAAGGAAAATTCTAGAATGTCATGGCTCTCTCCAGGTCTCCCATTTTCTAAAAGCCAAAACAGAAAAATGTCTTTCATCAAGTGTGATGGTGGAATCACTGCTTTTCTTGGATCTGGGAGTTACCAGCTTGTGTTTTAGGAAGACGGTTTGACCTCTGGAGGTTACTTTTCATTCTGTGACTTTTTCGATGTGTTTGACTCTTTGCTAATTTAATTTATATTTTCTGTGTTAGTAATACTGTGTCACCTATACTGTATGGTTGTGTGTGTGTGTGTAGTTTGTCATATATACATTGTATAGAATATACACATATGTAAACTATGCATTCTCATGTTACAGTTTGTCTTCTGGAAATAGTCCATGAGAGGAAGAATCACTGAATTGCTGCTTTGTAAAAATTCATTATATTTTGTTGCTTTTTCTGAATTGCATAGTTGGCATTTGATATAAAGCTTCCACATTGAATAATGAAATTAACTTTAAAAATAACTTTTTTTTCTTCTTGCTATAACACATCAAGACCAAAGAAGTACTGTCATTGGGATGGCCTGGAGCTCTCTTTAACCTAGATGTATCTACTGCTCACTAACTCCCTTTTTTTTTTTTTTTTTTTTTAATTTTATTTTAATGTTTCTTTTGTATAATGTCTTCAGTTTGTTTTGATCTTTTGCCCAATAGGTGGTAACAGTTAGTTCTAAAGAAATTCTGTAAACCATAAGGAAGCACGGATTCTTCATTTCTTTGAGACCCTGCAGAGCTGTAGTAAACAAAATATCTGTCATCTTCTGTCAGTCACATGCAATGAAATATGTTATATTTTATAAATTCCAAGGATAATATGAACTGACAGGAAAAAATGAAATTAAGAAAGCTTTGGATATTCTTTAGGATGTTTATAGGTGGAAAACTATCAAAACTTTATTAAAACAAACTAGAGGGCCGAAGACTGCACATGGTCGAAGAAATCCATCTTTTATCCAACTGTGTTACTTGAACCTGCCAAAAACTTTCCCTTTGTTGTCTGAATGGTGCTGTTACCACCACATATATTTTTGCCATTGAACAGTTCATCAGTGTTAACTAACACTTAGGAGGGTCAAATATATAAAATCACCAAGTGTGATGCATATTGTTAAAAGAGTATGTTACATACACTAAGAAATATAGAGAGATTGAAAGTGCAGTTCTTCTTCTTTGGACCTGCGCTGGACTCATCGTGTATTTACACTCCTGGCTAAGGTTTCTTACAGCCAAAGGGAAAAGGCACGTGAAATGGAGGAGACCAGGCACAAACTTCCAAGAGCCCTCTCCCAGTAGTCACTCAGGATGTGCTTAATTCCTCCAGTGTTGAATTGTGACTCCATGTGTGAAGTGTTGTGTACTAGGGAAACTCATTAGAGACTTAGTCCTCAGA